TAACACCTTTTTCCATGTCATTCTTGTAGTCTGTCATTTTAAAATCCACTTTCAGATCAATCTCAATGATCTGGTCAGGTAGAACCTGTTCTTCTTCCATAACATCTTTTAAACACATTCTATCTATAGAGGCAGACACTCTTAAAATTAACTTCTGGGTCCATTGCTCAAAAATATCCTTCAGTGTGTCCAATGTTAAAATATTTTGCTCCATTCTGTATTAGTAAGTCAAATGTAAGTGGTGTTCTCCTTTAATTGTAATCTTTAGTTCCTTCTGGTTCCCTGTAGTGTCCAACCTTCAAAGTCTCATCCTATCTTTTTTTTTTTTTAAGAGCATTCAAAACAAAAGCATTTTCCCATGGGAAGGATTCTTATAATTAATTTCAAAATCTTATTTCAAATCCATCTGGACTTAGTCCATTTGTAACTTTACAAAATCTTTTTTAAGAGCATTCAAAACAAAAGCATTTTCCCATGGGAAGGATTCTTATAATTAATTTCAAAATCTTATTTCAAATCCATCTGGACTTAGTCCATTTGTAACTTTACAAAATCAAAGTTCTAATCACAATTTTTCTGTTTATTCCAACTATTTAAACCCCTTAAACTCGTACTTGTGTCACTAAGGATTGAAGGAAACTTGTCGATCCAAAGGTTCCTTATAGCTGAAAAGCAGTTAACAAGCAATTTCCAAAAGTGATTACAAGAACCCAGTGTCCTTTTGAAGGCTCTGACTGTCGTTTGAGCATGATGGCTATTCCTGTGTCTCCCAGAGCTCTAAACCCACTGGAGATCACTGTCTTGTGGGCAATCTCAAGTCCTCTCCTTGTCTGGAGAAGAATTACGAAGAGATGGTCTGTTCACCAGCTCTTCTTCCACAGCTGTTGGTTCCGCTACTAATGGAGCCATCTTCAGTTCGCCATTTCTTCCTTGGAAGTCCCTTTGGGGATTACTAAATTGTGAAAATCCATTTTATCTGGATAATTTTGATGGTGACTGTAACTAATATATTATTTTGAGTTGAAAATAATCAGATTTATCTCAGATGATTAAACTGGATTTAAATAAATTGCCGTTAGAAAAAGCAATAGTCTGGATATATCCAAAAGTTTAAAATAGCAATAGTCTAAATAATTAGGTAAAGCCAATAATTTAAAAGTAGTTTTGCCAAATAACTTATGCTTTATGTGGTATTCCTGAAATGTATTTTCAAAAAGGTAATGTATTATTTCAGACATTTATTTCTCAAAAATCTATCTTTAGTTTTTCACTCATGAAGTTTCAACTGTCAAAAGGTGGGTGGGGATTTAATTTTGTAGATTTTATACCCTAAGGCATATCTTTCTTGGATTGGAGGATTATTTAGAAATTTGATTTGGATATAACTTAAATGTATGTTTTCTGATTTTATCCTTATAAATAAATATAATTTAATTGTATATGACATGAATATATATGTAAGATTATAGATTTGATTAATACAAAGAATACTTATTTTTTCTTTTTTTCGTATGTGTGTGTATAAAAAAACAAAAATAATATAAATACTAAAGTACTAATCTTGTGAAGAGTGTAATATACAAGATGATTGTGTAAATTAAGAAAATTGCAAGCATACCAAACAATAGAATAGTAAGAAATGTTAGGAAAGCTTGCATGTATAAGTGTTTGGCAACAGCTTTAGACTTTGTAATTTCTTCAGTTTTTTTCAAGCTAGTATTTAAAAGGAATAATGGGTTAGCACTCATATTCTTAAGAAAGATGCCTTACTGCTTCTCTATTATGGAGGGACTGTTTCCTAGATTGGACTCATTAGTATAATTTATAAATCAATCCCTGTTGCTTTCTGGGTGTTCTTGGCTACCATTAATATGGCTACCAGAGTCATCACATCCAGAGGCAGAGGTTATAGTCCCACATATTTGAATGGCACCAGGTAGGCAAAGCTGAATAAATCATTGTTTTGATTTTGATTCCATACCTGCAACTTGCTTAAGCTATTTGCAATAGTAAATTCAGTGTGTTGTAGGATGGTGAGCAAAAACATGAAAATGCTGAAAACCATATAAGCCAAAGGTTTTTTTTTTTTAAAGTGTCTAGCCATGGAAAGTTTATTTACCTTTTGTGTCCCAAATGTCAAGAATATGTGACATTTGGAGGGTGGGGGAAAGGGAAATTCTATGGACATATTGCTTTCATTTTCAATAAATGCATTTAGGAATCTATTTCTCTACTCAGAACCTGCTTTTGGAGGGTTCCTAAATATATAGCTATATGGCTCTCTTCAGCTGCTTCATTGAATGCATGTAGGCTAGGGGAGCAGTACACAACATGTCCTAAAGATATTTTGAATGTCCATTCCCAGCCAGCAAGGCCAGTGGCAACTAACTGTGGAAATTATGCTGCAAAACATCTGGAAGATCCCTGTTTGCCTATTTCTGGATTAGAAGGGCTTCCTCCATGTTAGATGATCGCAGCTATAACATTTTCTTTTTTTAAAAAACTACTATTACAAAGCAAAGCTAAAGAAAAACTCTTTAACAACTCCCCTAACTAGTATACTTGCTAACTAGCAAGTAATGATCCAGAGAAGTTCATTAGTTATTCTAACTTTTAAGAATTCAGATACTGGTATCTTCTGATTAGCAATTCTCATGTAAAAGTGTGTTGCTGTTTTGTAACGTTTTTGTTATAAATATTGGTAAGTTATTTTCTGATTTGCTGCTTTTCCTTGTCTCTCACTCTGCATTGGGTATTGTTGAAAGGTGGTTCTGTGAAGGTAAAGAACTGCAAAATTCTCCTGATATTCAGATCTGTTCTGAAAGTGAAGGACTCCAGACACTCATTATAGCAGAAGCTTTTGAGGACGACACAGGGCGCTACTGTTGCCTGGCCTCCAATTCTCTTGGCTCCAGTTCTACTTCAGCAGAATTATTTGTTGAAGGTAAGTCATGGCAATAAAAAATGTAATGCATTGGGTTCTGTTGCTACCACCTTATTTATATCAAGAGCTCTAGCTTTCACAAGTGTATGGGTCTGCAGTCTATATCTGCATGTCTAAATTGCCAGTGTTGACTAAAAAGCCCGATGTTCTTGCTATAATTCTGCATTACTCTAATTAGTCCTTTTCAACAAGTTAGAATTAGACTTTTGAAAACTGTTTTTTAAACAAAAGCTGAAATGCTGTAAAACAGGGCAGGCTACTTTTTTTTACATAGGAGGGTACACTGTTTATTTTTGAGCTCCAGGAACTGCTGGGGAGTGATGATGACAGTGATGATGTCATGTCTGCAGAGGCAGCGGGTCATATTTGATATTTTCAGAGTGTACTTTAGGCAGTCAAAGGGAATGGTTGTCATGAAGACTTGCCCATTGAAAAAAATGGCCTGACACAAAGCAACACCTTTCTATATGGCAAACTGGTTCCACTCCACCACCACTCATATTCCCTGTCAGTTACCAATTTCTTCTCAGTTTACAAAGTACTGAGCTAAAGACGCTATCATTTTTGTTTTCTAAGATATAGATTTTATATGGAACCCAAAGGTTTTATGAGAAACATACAATTCTAGCTTTTCAGAATGCTAATTTCTTTTTAATATGGTTTAATATTAAAATCTTTAAATAAAATAATTGAATGAGGGAAGGCTGGTGAGTATCAGAGTGCCATGGAAATTTCAACATTACTGAAATCATAGACATTTTCTTAAATATTCTGCTTAAAAACATGCAGCTGTGTATTACAGCTGTTGCTATCTCTGGTCATTCTGTTTCCTATTTCTCTGCAGGTGCCGGTTCCTCTGATTCTGATAGTGAACATTTCAGATCAAAATCTGGAGCCATGCCCCAGTAAGTTTACAAAGCAAACCCAACTATGTTGTGTTTAATGTTTCTATGGCCCTCCGAAAGGATAATTGCTAAGCTGTTCTGCTTCACATCTTCCTCCTCCAATCATTCTATGCAGGGAAAGAACTAACTAGCGTTAATCAATAATTAAGTCATGTTGATATATTGGATTGAACCTTGACCATAGGATGACTACAGGATAGATTTTGGCTCTGAGTCTATATTTTGAAAGCTTGTACCAGCTGGACTTTTTAGATGAGTGAGTTCTGAGCTAATCAAGTAGGTTTCGTACAGTTGTGTATCTCTTTTATGCATTTGTTTCAGTTGTATACTCAGTTCTGCTATTTCTGAAATTAAGTACAAGTATTAAACAGTTCCAACTGTTTAAATATTTCCAAATCTTTAATGAAAACTTTAAGAAGTCTTTCCCTTCTTTGTTTCTTGTGGTTGAAGACTCACGAAGACTAATTATTTCACATTCCCAAGATAGATTCCAAGCATATCAGTAAAATTATCTCTGTTATAATGTATGACTGTTGTCTATGGAATAAATCAGAAAGATTTCCTAAAATACAAAGGTTTTTGATGGGGAAATATTAGGATTAGAGGTTCATTGCTGCACTGGAAAAATATTAAGCTGCAGTTTTCCGCTTACTGATGACACAGACAGTGGAAAATGTAGCTAATTGGTCACAGTTCCTAATCAGGATGGCCTGTACTAGATAACTCAGCTAATTTGAACAGCTCAGCAGGTACAAAAGTCATCACTTTTCTTTTCTCCATTGGAACAGAGGGATTGCTACTTCTAAATTGTATGTCTTAGAAGTGGGACACTGCAGTGATGAGGGTCCCTTCTTCAGTTTGAACTTTTCACAGCAAATGTGCTAAAGAGCAGATCTGTACCCACAACCTTCATATAAGTAGTAGAACAGTAAATGTAACCATCAAACCTGGGGCTTAATGTGGAATGCCTGTTTAGAAATTATTTTTTAAAAGAAAGGTAAAGATTTGAGAAATAAGGGTGAAAGAAAAAGAAGCATTTGTTTTACTTTCAGATTTGTATCACAACATCAATTTGTCTAGCTTGGAGTAATTTTTAATATTAAAAGGCTAGCTAATGAAAGAATAAAGGTTCAGACTATTTGTTTTTTTCACATCGTTTGCTAAGAGCAGGAGGAAGAGGGCAAACAATTGGGGTTGGTGCATGTTCAGAGAAAGCAGGTTGTTAGTACTCCCAGGATGTTCCCCAAGGCTTCTTTATGTCAGTAATTACTTAATTAAATTTAAGTTAATGTATGTTAATTAGTGTTCCCATCCACTTCATTACTGAACAAGTAACACAGTGGAAGGTTACCACTGATCTTAGCGGTTGAATTAGTCATGAGAAAAGGCTCTGCAGGGTTCTTTTTCATGAAATGGGAAACATTTTATGGATGCACTAGCTGACCTTTCCCTCTCTCTCTTGATTTCTCCATTTATCCAGGGCTCAGAAGAAAAGCACTTCTGTTTCCTTAACAATTGGATCGTCAGCTCCAAAATCTGGAATTACTACAGCAGTAATCCAGCCTATCTCTGTGCCTAGCCAGCAGGTACATATACGTGCTAGTTTAAAGCATTAAAAGTTTATTAAATTAATAGTAACGTATAAATATATCCTGTAGCTATAAGAAGTTTCCTTCCTTTCAGCCTTGGATTCTTTTATTTGTGGTACATTTATTTTGTGATGTGCCCTTTTTGTTACAGTTAGTCTTTTTTGTTAGTCACCGTTTTGTTACAAGGTTCAGAATTGTGACAGCATTAAGGTATAGAATTTTTTTTAAGGGAACCTGGCAGACTACCTGCATTTGGGTATTTGCGTTCATTGACTGACTGTACAAAAAGAAAAATCAAGCCTTTTGTGGTAAATTTATTGTAGATGTATTCATTAGGTGCATAGAATTAAGTGTATTCTCATTTCCTGACATTTCCTGAAGAGCTTGATCATTTGTGTGATGAATATACAGGCTGCCCCAAAGACTGAGGACATTATGATTTAAAATACCCAGTTTTGTAAATTGTCTTCATTTTCTTCACATGCAGTGCCTTCTGCAAGCACATATTTTTCCATATTCTTCTTTAACTTAATTGCTTTCTTCACTGACATCCACATTCAAAATGTTTCTTCTCAAAAGCCTTTTTTAGACAATCAAACCACCTACATTCAGTTCTCATTACCATTCGGAGGCTCATATAATATTTGAGCAGCTAGAGAACTACTATGTTCCTCCTTCACAATTCCAGATCAGACTGGAGAAAAACTGCAGCGTAGCACCTGTTCATACTAGCATTACTGTTCTGGAGATCAATGCTGACATAACTGGAGCTTGAAAGAAGCATATAATGCAGCTGTTTAATATCAGATGCTGTTTTTTGTCATGAGACCCTGAGTTTGACATTGATCTTTCTTTTTTCCAGGGATCATGATTTCAGTATTTGTTCAGACTTTCACAAACTATGGTATTAAATGGTAACCAGCAAAAGTTGTAGTCAATAACAACTGTTAACGATCTAAAATCAGAAATCCCAGAGATTTCATGGAAGTATATTCTTAGTAACATCAATATAAATTAAGGTTGGTTATTATATGTTGTCAAAGTGTGTCAAAAGCTCGGAACCACTTTTGAGAGGGGTGTATCAGCTGATAATAGATAATGTGTCCTCAAGTCAATGTCAGTTATTAGCCACATAAATAGATCTTTATGGTGAATTCAGTCTGAAATATTAATTTTAGTATGCATGTGCTATATTCACAGAAAAAAAGATAAAAATGAGAATAAAATATACTTTATGTTACTGCTTATATTGCAGATACTTTCTATTATTAATGGTGCAGATATGCTTTAAAAATGTCTGTATGTAATGTTTTTTTCAGGTCCAAAGTCCTACTTCATACCTCTGCAGATTAGATGGATCGAAGCCTAGTCATGCTGCACCTATTTTTACAAAGGTCTGCTTTCTCTACTAATATTCCATCCTGAAACCATGTGCTATGGATAATTTAAAGCCTATAAAACGTAGTAAACCGGTAGTGATTCCTTGTCTGCAGATTTCCCCAATGGGGTTCTAGTAGCATACCTAGGAATTATGGGGATTGAAAAATGGCACATCTGGAAGGCAACAGGATTGGAAGGGTGATTTACACTATGGTCAGAAGTGTTTCTTTCAGAAATGCTTTTTTTCTGTAATGTTTACCTTCTGTTACTTGCACTACATAAGGTGAGATGAGCTAGTCCTGGACTGCATGCAGCCCTCTAGCATCTCAAGCTTGGGCAACTGAATTTAGTAAAATTTGGTACAATATTATGGTACCATTTTTATACATGATACATTTTGTGTGTGTGTTTTTACAAAATTAAGAGCTGGAACAAAGGTAGAAGGCTCTGGGAGACAAATTGTCCTAACCCCCACCCTTAAATCTTCCACAAACTCTGAACAACATCCCCAAATCAGGCTGCAAAATGGTTTCAGGACCTTAAGAGATTGAGGTGGAAATGTGAGGGTTTTAGGATTCAAGTCACTTCTGTTACCACCATTTAACCTCCATAAATCAAAACAGAAAGCTAGAAAAATTAGAGTTACTGTAACTTATTCCACTCACTTTTTATTTTCCAAATTACCATTTTTGCATGTTTTTGAAAATAAAATATTTGGATAATGCACAAGGACTTATACATAAAATAATTGCTATCAGTGAAAAGGTGCTGTATACATAACATCTTTTCTTCATAGTAGTACTTTGTTTTCTAAAGCCAAAAATGGAAAAAGTGTTGGAAAAACACATGAGGGTTGGTGTAGAGTATGGAGATGGCCTTGAAGAAGGAATTCAGGTACCATTGTGTAAACATCAGCTTAGGCTGGATAGGCAGGAGAGGATCTGGAAAAACTTCAGCATTGCCTTGCTTTAATTCACTTCAGTATAAGAGTGGAGGGAAATAATTTCCATCAGGCTTTCAAGATTCTGTTATTATATATTATGACTTTATAGTTATACTATATAGTGTAACTGTACTTTATAGTTCCAGTAGTTCATGTGGTTTCTGTTTCCTGACCTGGTCTACCTCAAAGGGCCAACAGTTACAAATGGTAGATGACAGTTGTTTTGGATCTCCCATGAAGTTTCATAAAGGAAGTACATCAGTTGCATAACAAAAAGCATTGTCTGGAAATACCCATTGTTATAAACTACTGCATGCTTCTGCACATTAAACTTTCATTTCCTAGTGTTCAGATACCATCTTATGAAATAGTTGTGTTTTTTTCTTGGTAAGATAATAGCTTGCCAATGTTGATGTTACTTTTCCTGGTAGAAGTGTCTGTTCTTTCATTAGCTTATTTGTATAACAAACTTTCAGGAGCTTCAAAATTCAACAGCAAGTGAAGGACAAGTAGTTGTACTTGAGTGTAGAGTAAGAGGAGCACCTCCCTTGCATGTTCTTTGGTTTCGCCAAGGGGTTGAAATTCACGATTCCCCAGACTTCCGAATTCTACAGAAAAGTAAGTGGCAGATTGCTTTTTCATTGAAATAGAAATGGAGTAAAAATATACAAATGTGAAATGATTGATTGTTTCTAACTGTATTCTGAATTTGAAGTTATGTTGTTCATTTACCAGAGTCCATTTGTGTTGGAACAGGTTATAAACGTTACTAAATAAATAAATAACAATGAATTGACTTGAGATACAGTTTATAAAGAGTATTCTTTCTTTGTTTCATTTGTAATTATCATATTACCCAGTAGTTTTGTTATCACGTTATCAAATTCTATAAAGCTTTTTACCTTTGCATATTTACATTTCTAATGCATTTTGTTCTTTCTGCTTCTGTTCCCTATCCTGTGTTTTGGATGATGTCATAAGCAGAACCACGTTCTGCAGCAGAACCTGGTAAGTATCACATTTTTAAAAGAATTGATTTCTTGTGTTTGTGTTGCAGTTAAATAGTGCAGTATTTTGTATGGGGCTAGTTAACGGGCAATTCTTTTGAAACCAGCTTGTTCTTTATCATGTACTTCTGACTTTGCAATCCTGTGCTTTAGGTCAGTTTTTTTATTAGTGGAACCTCAGCAAACCTAATGTAGACAGCCTTACTCAATAAACTTTTTTCATTCTCAGAAAATGTTGGTTGAAAGCTGCTTAATCTCCACGATTTAAGCACTGAGATTCTGGTGGTTTGCTGTCAGAGTTACTAGACTGACAAAGTACAAATTTTCCAGTTATTAAATCTATCCTAAGTGAAATGTAAATATAGCTATCATCTTTTTTTAAAAAAAAATCCTAACTCAGTATTCTCTTTGAGAGTACCTACAGGTTAGAAACATCTGGGAGTTGGGAGGTCATGGTCAATATGGGAAAGGAAGTTCTTATTTATGTTATTTTTGCAGTACACTCTGGAATTCAGTAATTAAAAGTTATATTCTCCTGCTTATGATGCTACAGTTTATACTTCTCATCTTGGCCTTACGGTAAGGGTGGATAATGTTGGCTATTCCAGATGATGGTGAACTACTATTCCCAACATCCATCATTACAGTATTGGCCACACCTGAGGCTGCTGGGAATTATATTTCAGTACTTGTCTGGTGCCTCTAGATATGTTAGAATTACAAATCCCAGAATTCCCCAGTACATCAGAAAGATACTAGGTGAACACTGCTGTAGACTGTTGACAGGACAAGGAATATTAGCTTTTCAGGTTTAGCACTTAAATCAGCTGATGTCCGTTTCCAAAAGTAAGTCTAAATACAAAGAAATGATCTCAGAAATATTAATTTCTTTGGGGATGGGGTTAAACTGTCTCAACTCTGGAGCTTGCTCTTTCAAATAACAGCTTCAAAAGAATTACAGACTAAAATACAGATTACAGCAGTATTACAGTTCACAGTGTTTGTTGAATTCTCTGTTCCATTCCCAGTATTTTTTTACTGAAGGTACATGTTAAACTAGTGTAATAAATAGGAAAGAGGACAGTTTTTATCTATACATCTCTAATACATGACATTTGTAATCTGCGTCCCCAAAATCTCAGTTGGCTGCATGCTAACAGGTTAGGCAGTATGGAGTCAAAAGCAGAAGAAGGGGAGAAAAGTATGCTTTGGAGATCCAGGCAGTTGAAAAACTATGAAACAGGTTTTTCTTGTCATTTCTAAGTTCTATCTGCTTAATGTGTTTTACACTCCTTTCTTTGTCTAGACGGAAATCAGCCTGCAACACAAATCTCTTCAGACTGTTTGGAAAATTAATAGCCAGTCAAATTACTCAAGGCCAACATCACAGTTTGTCAAATGACCTGCTCAGTACTATGTTATTTTGACATTTTGACTTTATGTTGATTGACTCCTTCAAAGAACAGTTCCTTTAAGGAAGGAGGAAAAGAGACCTGCAGAATCATTTGCCAGCTGCTGATGCTTTAGCCATTACTCAGCTGTCTGGAAGCAGCCACAAAGAATATTCAATTTCTTTAAAACAATTGTCTTTTGATATGTAAAAAATACTATATTCAATATCTTTTTCTTTTTTTTGGTCTGTGATTAGGGATTTGCTAAACATGAAAAACTTTCAGAACACAATTGAATTATTTATTTCATTAGATTTAGATTGTGGACATACACACAGAGAAACCTTCTTTTTTTAATTGTTTCCCAACTTTTTGTCAAACTCCACTATTCTTTGAGTTTGTTCTGGTTCCCTGCATCTAGAAAAGGAACCTGAGCAAACAAAATTTGTAACTTAACTGCAAAACTTGTTTAACCAGCTGTCTCTGTAGCTTCCATGCTCCTATTAGCGTCATTCTGCATACTGAGAATTCCGTTGTTGCAGACCCAATGTATTTTGGAGAATTTGAAGTTGGGAAAAGCTAATGAAAGTCTTTCTCATGTCAGTTCTATCCCAGTCTTTGAGAGGAGCGAGTCAAGTTCTTCCTGTGCTGGTCAGCATTCCATATTGCAGGATGGAGTCATGCTTGCATGGAACATAAGAAAAATAGTATAAGTCATTAAACTGCAGTGTACTTGTTAAGGTAGATAAGAAAAAGGGCAATTGCAGAATGAGATAAATAGAATTGTGTAAGCAATCTTATTGTAGGGTTCTTGAGATGGAAGCATTCTATTGCTGTATGTGGTCAAAAAGGAACTGAATCCAGAAGCTAGTAGATGATCATTTCAGACTCTTACTGAGTTCAAATATTGTAGAATTGGCCAAGAAACTCTGCTTGGCTGTTGAGGCTGCATTGCCAACAATAGTGGGTAGGCGTAAGTCAAAACAATTTCATTTATTTTCCAATAAAAGGTAATTAATGAAATTACTGTCCAGGCATACATATACTGTTGTGCTTATATCACATTCAAAATTTTGCACTTTTTAAGAAGCCTGTGGATAATTCAGAACTTGTTAAAAGTACTAAACTGATACAGATTCCTTTACTACAGCCTTCTCCAGTGTGGTGTAAGTATATCTGTAAATTATATGAGTTGAATCCACCATATCTAAAAAAAAAAAAAAAGACACCAGGTTGGGAAGGGAGAGTGTTATACTGTAATATGAGTTGTTTGATTTTGGCTTGTATTTTGTATGTACTTAGACAATTGTGATTTGTTCAGTGATTCATACTTAGTAAAACGTGGTAACAGAATAAAACTTAATAAAAAACAGCTAACAGAAATGTGATCAGTGCAAATAAGTTACTGCTGCTAGATCAGTCACAGTGGGGATCTTCACTTACTGTTTTATTCAGATTTTCTGCACTTACAGTAGAGTTAAAGAAGCTGTATTGTTTAGGTATGAGATAATCAAATATACATATCAGCAAAGATGACCCACAAGAAGATGTAAGAGAACTGTGGGCATGTTTAGCAGATTTAGGTAATACATATTTCTGTACTAACTCTTTTTTGTAGCATCAGCATAAGCTGCATTTAAAAAGAATTCATAGAATCCTGCTTTTCCTTTCTCAGTTGCTTAGTGCATTGGCTGTCTCCAACTGACCTGTTTCTATTTCTTTGTCTACCTTCTTACACAGAGAAGGTCTTTCCTTCAGGAAGGGGAATAGTTCACCAAATCAATGAGATTGAAGAACGAATGTGTTGCCTGATAAAGACATCAGAAGTACAAAATAGCTTGGAGAGCTGAAGCAGCATTTTTAAGATAACAAAACAGAGTTAGAATGATAGGAAATAGAAGGCTAAAGAATAAGAATGGAAACTTCCCTAAATAAGTCCCTAAAACAGCAAAATTGATTTTTCTCTGATTTCTTAAAAATATGTTTTGCTGTTTCCTTTACTTTTGCACGTCAGCCAACCTGTTTAGAATCTCATGCTTTTTTTTCTTTTTTCGTTTTTTGGGGAAAATGCGTCATTATTTTTGGAATCATGCCCTTGTGAAATTAAACAAATACATCTCTTTGATTAAAGGGGCTTCCTTACTTTATGTTGCCTCTGAATAAGCCCAGTTTGCTTTCAAGTACATTATAACTCCGTGCTTAGAGTTATAATGTACTTGACTTCAGATCACTGAGGCAGCCTTCTGCAATCTGGTACCTTCAAGATATATTGGATTACAATTCTTGTCATTCCACTTAGCATAGCCATTATTATGCTGATTGGGGATTCTGAAAGTCGTTGCCTGGTACATTTGGAAGACATAAGATTGGGGGGGGGGGACTGATAAAGTAAGATCAAGATTAATCCTAATTTCACCAGCATCTGCTCCATAATCTGCAGTTTGAAAGTTAAAGTAGTAGAAGTACCTATATATCTTGGAAGAACAAAGGGCATATGGGCAAGCAGCAATTGTCCAAACCTTTACATCCAAAGAATGAAAAAGGGTTAATTCTACCCCCAGTACTGCTGGAAGCTGGGTGGGCTGCTTGAACAAGGTAGTGTAGATCTGAGGAGCAATAGTTGAAACTGAATGTTAAAGGATGCTTAGACCATGTTCCTATTAAGAAATGAATGGTTTAGCAAAATCCTTCAAACCTTTAATTTGCATTTTGATGGTATAAAACAGATTAAAAATTCTACCATCTCTGATTCCAATACTGTTCATGTTAAAATATCTTTAGCTCAACATTGATCACTTAATAGTTCATTTTTATTTACTATACTTGGATTACATATTCTTTGTAATGAATTCAAAGGGATATATGTTCTTTCCCTGCACACTTACTGTAAATTTTGCAACAGCTTTGTGAAGTCAAAATGTGGTTAACAGATACATTCAGTGAGTGGATAGATTAACTAGAACTCCCTAGTTTGAACCGCAAGCACTGGATCATCTCAGTCTAGAAATGCTTCCTTTGAACTGACATGAATTCATTCACTCCATTCAGGTATTCAGTATTTAGAATCAATTTATGGTTCAGTCGTTAAGTCGTGTATGACTCTTCATGACCCCATGAACCATATCGTGCCAGGCCATCCTGTCCTTCACTGCCTCCCTGAGTTTGCTCAGTTTCATGCTCATTGCTTC